AGGGGAGAGAATAGGCATATCTAGCGGACAGAGGGAATTAAAAATACACATATCTTGAGTTGGCAGTGGGAAGAGATTTGCTTGCAAACTAAGAAAATCACTGCTACTCAGAGGCGGGTTTAAGGTCCTATTTATATTTAAAATCAAATGCTAATTTGATATAAGTCTGGATTCCCCCCCCCAAATATTACATGTATAGTTTGAAATAAGGTTTCTAATTGATTTATTCATAAATGCTTTAATAACGGATTGCCTTTAGTCTTATGCAAATATGTTCTCTATAGTTAGTTTATGATTCGTTGTTTAATACACCAGCCAAATGAGTAAATTCTGTAAACCATGGGTAACATTACCATGAAACCACAGCTAATGAGTTTGCAATTAAAGAATAAAGTTTACTGTAATGCCAAGAAAACTGTAAGGATACAATCACAAGGAGTTGAGCCTGATTTGAGGAACTTTTTCAGGGCTGGCTTCTGCACAGATTTTTTTTTAACCTATAAAGATGGGAAATGCACTGTCAAAGTAGGATTATAAAATTACAATAATAAAACCAGTACAATAATGGAGTAAAACCAGTACATTAATGGTAAAAATGTGACCAGGATCTTCTCTTAGGCCAAATGGAGGGAAAGAGGGTAATATATAAGGAGCTGGTCTCTAATGCCTTCTTTGCTTGCTGTCTGCTAGCTCCTTCCAAGATTCCTTGGAGAAGATCCCAGGCTCAATTCTGTGGATATTAAAGCAAACAATGATCTAAGGTAGTGAGTGTGGGAAATAATAGAGACTTGTCTTGAAGAGCTGGGGACATGTTGCCTTAGAATGGTAGATGATATTTGGTTACTGTACCAAGTACTCTAGAACATTCAAAATGCTTGAAAGTAATATATTGTCTCAGTAATCTTTTATAAGTAGAATATGGTAGTAGATTATTCCAATATTTCATCTGAAGTAGCTTACCAGTTCCTAAAGGGAAAAAACTGATTGGGGAAAAATCAGTTAACGGGCAGATGAATATAGTACAGAATTGCAGTGTACGCTGCAAATCTATATGAGTCTATCCAAAAATAAACTTTATTTATTTATTTTATTTATTTATTATTAAATTTGTATGCTGCCCATCTCCCCCCAACGGGTGACTCCGGGTGGCTCACAGTGAAAATCAGAAACCCTATCAACAATTAAAAATCCCCCATAAATAGTTAAAATAAATAATCCATTAAAAATCAAATCT